ATATATATATTTTTGTGAGTTAATGGGATGAGGGAATATTTGGGGGATATTTTTAAGGGAATATTTGGAATATTTTTTTTAATAAGGGAAAAGAGGAATAATCGTGATAAGAGAACATTTGGAATTTGTGAATTTATAAAATCCCTTTTGAAAAGTTTCATTATTTGTAAAAGAAATATTTTTTTTTTAAATACAGAAGTTCGGGCTGGCACGGTTGTTGAGTTCGCTTCGAGCAAAGGGAATTTGAAGCAAACAGATGATGCTGAGAGGCGTCGAGTTCATTCCATTGCACTTGCTGCTTGGCTAAACTATTTGCTTGACGATACGAATGATGGTACTGAGAGCATGGGATAGTTGCCGAAGAGCAAGGAAGGTTAGTTCGTTTTTATGCATTTTTTTTTGCATTTATGCTTGCTGCGACGCAAAGAAAAAAAAATTACAAGAATCAGGAAAATTACCTGAAGGTCGTCTCAGTGGCCCCGAAATTCCCGGCCGGTGCACCAAGAACTCTACTGGAAAATTTTCTTTCTGATAGGTGGTTCAGATCGACAGAGTTAAACGACCTGCCAATATCTGCCTATAAGGGTCGTGACGGGATACCAGAAACTCGATACACGGACAGCAGTAATTTCCACGCGGGAAGGACCCGAGAAATTTGGCGGAGGAGAATCGGAGCCGCGAAGGAGAATCGGAGACGCGGAGAACCGGACTCGCCGTCAGTCCGCTTCCTTCGGTTGAAAAATCCAGAATGAATAAAAGAGGAGCGATCGGGGTTTGGATCGCTCTATCTTTTTACAATCTCCGAAAACACGCAAAATTGAGATGAGAAAACACAAAAGCATCCCCAAATACAAAAAACGAAAACTTTTAAGATATTGGCGGCGATAAACGCCGCCACAATTCTCAGAAAACATGTTATCACACATCATCACTAAAGTGCATCCTCGGTTTCGCCGACAACCACTGAATGGGCTACCATTCGAACAGTTCTACATCCTAAACACGTCAGAAATTAAGGAAAGAGATTTGTAGTGCGATAACTCAGGTATTTTGCTTCATTTGATGTCTACAGTTCTTTGAAAAACTGCTGCTACTTCGTTTAGAAGTTTTCGCTCCGAAATTGCTTTCAGGTTCTGTGGTGTAGTGTGCTTTTTATGAACGCACATTTCCTAAATTTTATGGGGCTGAGTTTCTCAGGATAAGCGGCCCAGTTGCAGGACACACACATTGGGTAAGAATTTCTTACTAATTGGATAGGAATTTTTCCTGCTGCATACGTCTTGAAAAAGCATATGCATTTCACCCTCACACGAATCCTGCGGATTCCCTATCCAAATTTTTGTTTATGCTGGAAAAAGACGATGACCGTGTGGAAGCATTGCTGTCCTATAAATCCTACGGTTGCTTCTTGCGCACAAAACCGCCTGTACTGTAGGAAATCAAAATAGGAAAGTGTGCTGCACCAGCTTCTGTTTATTCTGAAATGAGCTCTGCAAATGTGTTCGATACAAATTTCGACTCGTAAGGAACTGCCCGTGACATGAAACAACTGTGCAATGCGCCACAACTTGGGCAATCGAAGTACAGTACTGGACAAAGATCAGTAAAGATTTCGACGGTTATGAAGCAAACCGCAGGATCGATCCATGGTGTCGCTCCCACGCGAGAAAAAGGGAAAATTTATTCGAAATGAAAAAAAAGGGAAGGGAAAACAGATCGGAGAATATCTCCGTCGCGATCACCCGAACATCTGCTCGGAGATGTTCGGCGGAAA